AAATAAATGCTCTGGAAAAAGGTCCCTTCAGGAAAGAACAGGGCATAAAAAGTAGCCTATTTTTCCTAGGTGGCATAATGGCTATTGTGGGGGCACAGGACACAATTCCCTGATTCCAGAGCAGCCAGGCCCGGGTCAGTGGGGAGGGTGAGCAGTCACAGGGCAGGGAAAGTGCTGACTGCCATAAGCATTCATGGTGAACAATGTCCCTCTATGAGATGCCCTGGGTTTCCCAGCCTGTGTGTCAGGATGGGTCATTTGTCCCAGGCTGCCTTGGGCATTCCTGGTATTTGCCAGCTGATCCGGGAGGAGCCCGGAGCTCTCAGGCATACCTGGTACTTGCCAGCTGGTGGCAAAGGGCAAGGGTGGCCTTGGCCCCTCGAGAGGCAGGAGATTCGGAGGATGAATTACTGTTGTCAAGGCTACAGGACAAGGGAAGCTGCCACCTTCCCAGTGTGCCCACAGACCTTACCAGTGAGCCTCCAGCCCAGCAGCAGAGTGCAGGCCAGCAGAGGCTCTATGACAGCACTGTACGTGGGAGCTGGGTTCCCTCTGGTTGAGCCTACTCCAGGGACAGTGAAGGGTCTGGCCCAGAGTCACTCCCAGAATCTGAATTTTCCTTCTCCACATTCTTGGCGTGTTCCTGCTGGGTTGTTGCAGAGCCTGGGGTGGCACCTACCATGTGTCTCCTTGTTCTGAATCAATTAGGGTTTTTACCACTAAAGCCACGAGTAACCCACTGTATTTGGGCTTTGCTTTCAAGCACAGCTTTGCATGGCATGCACCGCAACGGGTCCCACATTTAAAGTCCAGTGACTGTATCTGTCGATGGCTCGAGGATTGCAGAGCTGGGAGAGTTCCTCTGGGGAGAGTGCCCAGCTGCCTCCCTTCTGGACTGCATTATCCTTCCCCCGTGTTAAACCTGTGTGGAGACGTGGTGCACTTTGCATGCACTGTGTACACCCATCATACATTCACAGTTGGGGGGGTATTGTTATGATCCAGATGTTTTTGTGCCAGAACTACTGAATCCAAATTGTAACATTTCTTTAAAATATTGAAAATCACGCTTTCATAGTCCTGGGGAAAAAAGCCCCAAGCCTTACTATTGGCAACAGGTCTGCATTTTCCAGCTGAACTTCAGCGCATGCAGTTGTTTAAATCAGCCTTCAATGCTCACAGCTGTGCCCAGATGGGGCTGCTCGCTTCCCACTCTTCCCAGCAGCTTCCCGAGCCATTTACTTGAGGATTTTGTTTTTTCCTCTTGTTACTTACAGCGCCTTTAGACTGAGGGGCGGCAGCAGTTCCAAAGCTTTGCATTCCTGGCTGAGCTGTGCCTGTGTTTGCATGCAGAGCCATCGCCTCCCCTCCAACTATTTTAATCATTTCAAAAGGGTGGGTCAGCAGGCATTTGGCAGCGGCTTCTTTTCTATAGCTGAGGTGGAGTCAGCCAATGACCTGCAAGCCTGGAAAATTTTGCAGGGCAGTTCCACTGGACGGCTGTGCGGAGCTGTGCCATTTGAATTTCAGCACAGACACTCACTCACTGCGCTCCCCATTCCTGGCGCGTCTCCCAGCGCGGAGTTTAGCTGAGGCTCGGGCTCAGTTTTCCCTGCTCTCTCCCTGCAGTGACAGCTTCTCCGGGCTCTGTGAGCCAGGACTCCCGAGCGACCATGGAGGACACCACCTTGCAAATCATCGAGCCACCCACTGTCTCCGAGACCTCGGAGGAGCAGGCGCCCGAGGAGCCCATCAAATCAGACCAGATCAACGGCGTGATGGTGCTGACCCTGCTGGACAAGATCATTGGAGCGGTGGATCAGATCCAGCTGACCCAAACACAGCTGGAGGAGAGACAGCAAGAGATGGATAGCGCAGTGACCAGCATCCAGGGAGAGCTGACCAAGCTGACCAAGGCCCACACCACCACCAGCAACACCGTCAACAAGATGCTGGAGAAGGTGCGCAAGGTGAGCGTCAACGTGAAGACGGTGCGGCAGAACCTGGAGAAGCAAGCGGGGCAGATCAAGAAGCTGGAGGCCAATGAAGCGGAGCTCCTGAAACGCAGGAACTTCAAAGTCATGATCTACCAGGTAAGGAACTGTCTCACAATGTCTTTGCATCCTGTTAGCGGCTGTTTTCTTCACTGAGGGTCCTGTCATGCTGCATGGCCGGTCCAGTCCTCTCCCAAACTCCCTGCACTGTCTGGCAGTTCAGGCTGAGGCGGGTCCCCCCGTAGCTTTCTCATTTGTGCTTTAACATTTTCTGTGTGTCCTAAGACAAAGCTTGACAGAGTTGTCCCACTTAACAGGAATTTTAATGCAGATAGGAAGCAAGGCCCTAAGCACTCACTGCAATGGGCCAGAAGGATCAAAATAACCCGATTTTACTGCTTAGCTCAACGAAGTACAAGTGTGTCCTGGGATCTGGAAGGGGGTTTTGTAAATCCATCTGCAACGTCTCTTCTACCAAGAGACACCATGTGCGTGGCTACGTGGAGAGCGATAGCATTTCAGATGTGTGACATGCATCTGATAACAACAAATGACAGTAACCCTGGCTCGGGGTTAATCCCACCCGCCAGGGCAGATGGAGCTGTCAGAGAAAATCCAGACCGGTCCCCTGAGCTCGGCAGCACTCAGGGTGGACTTTGCCGTGGGTTTGTACAATTCCCACCTTCTTCCTGCTGCATCCTGCAAACCTTGATCCTTCTCGTTGTCTAGTTTCAGTAACAGCTTTGGTTTGCTTGATGTTCTCCCCCCCATGCTAAGCGTTGGAGTTTTCCTTTTATATTAAACAAGGAGAGAGAGAGGAGCACGGTTCTGTCAGGTTTCCTGCCTGCAGTTAGTTTCCCGTGTCAGAGCAAACTCTTCTATTGGGCCACAGGAGAAAAGTGAGTGAAACAGTTAATGATTCAGTTGGAAGCCTCTGAGTTAATAATAGCCAGCGCCAGGGACAAATAGAGAAGCATCGAATGCTGATCATGGGAAGAGAGAGAAAAAAAGCAAAATAAAAGGGAGAATGGTCGTTGCAATGGGGTTTGAGGGAGAGCAGCTCATGACAGACTCAGTGATCAGAGATATACAGGGCTTGTGCGACTCCCTGGTTCAGAGCTTGAGCATTTGTAGTTTTATTGTGGCTGAAAGGCTGAAATACTCAAGCCTGTTTAGATCATATGGGAAACCTGACCAGTTATAGACAGATACACATGTGTGTATTTATTACAAGCTCTTTGTATCAATCTGTCTATGGAAAAATAAGATAGAACTTTAAATGTACTGCAGAAGCAAAACCATTGCAAAATGAGAGGAGGGAAGGGAATTGTTTAACATTCCGTGTGGGTTACGGAGATAGGTGGGAAGTTAGCAGAGTTCAAGGTCCTCGGGAAGCATGGCGAACATTGACAGGTTGGCTTTTGGTGAGCTGCTTGTGTTGGTTTGCACTGGCTTATGGATATTGAGCAGAGTTTCTCTTTGAATATGAAAAACCATCCTGCTTCTGAAGGCTCAGGGCCTGCCCTTGCTGCTGTGCTGAGGACAGAGCAGCCTTGGAGCGAGTCGGTTGGCAAGGGACTGCGGCAGGGACTTGGTAATCATGGAGATTATAGTGAACAAAGTTATTTGTAATTTGGAACAGTTTCCCAGAATGGAACGTAGTGTGATTTGAATGTGAGGTCGCAGAGCACAAGTAAGGAATTCTCCAGGTTTACTCCATGTGAAATGGAGCTGTTTGTGCCCTCGTGAACATCCTGGCACTTCTGCAGGAGCAGACTCGGCCCCAGCAGGACAGGACCCGGCACTGGGATCCACCCTGGGAGTTTAAATAAGGAATACACTGTGCTTTCCTAATGGTGTCTATGGCTAAAACCAAATAATTACAACATAATTCTCTTCTAATTCAGTGTTTCACTTCTCAGACCCCCCACTCACCCATCAAAGGGTCTGTTGGGTACGTTACTGGTCATGTAATTAATTCTGCGGTGCTGAGCACATTATTGCTCCTCTCTGACTCAGGGAAAGCTGCTGCGCCACGCTGGGAGTGACTCCTGTGTGTTTTCCATTGCTGTAGCTAAAAGTGCAAGGATTTATTAGCCTTTTCTTTTGAAGAAGAAGAGAGAAACTCATTTTAAGAGAAGTAAAATACTCCATAATCCCAGCGGTGACTGTTTTCAGGCGACAGAGCTGAGCAGAGCAGGAGCCATGCTCTGTAGGAATTCGATATCGCACAGTTCTGTGGTCAAAGAGATAAAGGAGATAAAGATAAATGAGTTCTTTGCTGGTTAATGATGTTTGATTATTCTCTCAGCATTACGTCCTGAAGCTCCAGCAGTTGTGGAGGGACTATTTCAGGAGTGCAAATTAGATCTTTTGCACCTTGGGAGGGGAGGTCAGACTGCCTATGAGAGCTGTGTTTTCCTCGCTGTAGATTAGGAGGAAATTGAAGTAAAATTTTATTCAGGGAAAGCCTGACTTGTGGGATGTTCCTGAGCACAACTGTCAGGGTAGTTTCTGACTTTGGGGGAGAAAATGCTGAACTGGAAATCAGTCCCATGTCCTGGCTAAGCTGAGGTGTTGAGCAGAACATTTACGGGTGTCACTCACAGTCTTATCCATGTGCACATTTTCTCGCTTGCTCACCCTCTCAGAAACACTTCCAGCTGATTTTGCCAGGAGCTGGTCTGATTTCTACCGAGTTGAAAGAGTTTTTGTGTTGACTTAATGTAGGGAATTAGATCGATTCTTGAGAAAAAAATTTGAAAACAACAACCCCCCTCCAAATTGCCCCATCTTTCTGTTTTGAAAACTTGCAGACCCAAAGCAAGTGGCCGAGCTTTGATGGGCCACTGTGTATGCAGACGTTAAGTGCAGAACATGCCTTCCTAAAAAGTCTGATAGTGAGTGCCTGCACTGCTCAGCAGCCCCTGGGAACAGAGCTCAGAGCTCCATAGAGCTTCCTTTGTGCCTCTGGCCTGGGTTCCCATCTCTCAGAGAAACCAGGACGCCAACGAATTTGGTGAGAATGGCTGCTAATAAAAACAAATTGAAGTGACTTCATCCCAAATCTCCTGTTTTTAGGATCCTGAATCTGAGTCTGGTTACTGCAGTTCATGGTTAAATAATGGATGTCCTGTGCAGCTACTGCCCTGAAACCAGACTTTGGGCCGCATTCAGTCTCAGAGCGGCACGTGGCAGCTTACGTAAGCCCAGCATTTTCCTCCAAGCAGTTTTTGACAGTTAAACTTATTCCTGAGAATGTCAGAGGCTGACTTTCTTACAGCTGGGCAAACCCTTGTAGCACTCAGCATACACACGGAGTATTGAATTTCTAAAGTGTGCCAGTCCTTTATTTTGAGGCTCGTGTGGGCGCCGAGCTCTGGTTGCTCTGGCTCAGGATGTGCAGTGGTTTTTTTTGGAAGAGCAGCCTTTGTCCAAGGGGTGCTCCCCACACTGTCTGATTTGGGGGCTCCTGTGGGGCTCCTCTGCGCCTCAGGGGGCTCTGACAGCCGCTCTGAGCTGTGTGAGATGTGGGTTTCCATGGGAAGGGCCGGGCAGTTAGGACAGCAGGGTGGGACCCACATCCCAGCCATGCAGTGTGTGGGGTGGGTATGGCTGGGCAAGGGAATATAAATAGCCCAGCCTGGCTTTGTGCTCTGCGTGGGCCTTATACGGATGGGAGCAGCAACACTGCACATTTTGGGCAGGGGGGATGGATTTCAAACCCACACATTAATGTCACAGATTAGGAGGTCAGGCCTGAATTGCCTCATTTTTGGGACCGTGCTCCTCAAAAGAGAGTGTGGGAAAGGACAGGGCTCAAGGGGCTGAGGAGGAGTAGAGGGCAGGAAGCCCAGGGTGTACAAGCCCACTGCCCAGGGCTGCAGCCTTTTTCCACTGCCTAAACAGAACAGCAGCTGCCCCGAGCTATGGTTTTGTTTGAAAGTAATCATTCAGAAACAAAACCAGGGTGAGAGCCAGCAAGACCTGCAGGCCTGAGGGGCAGCTTGGGTCAGTGACGTGCCTGGGGTTCAGTGGAGCTTGCCCAGCTACCAGTGTTACAGAGTAAATAGGAACTTGCAAAGCAATTTGGATGACAGCACTGGGATAGGCACGGGCACCAGGCACCCACAGGGCACTTTTCCTGCAAGAGCAGTTGGCTCTGTGTGCCCGGGAGTTCTCTGTGCTGGAACGTCTGTCCCTCTTCCCAGTGGGGCACTGCAGGGATTTGCATTGCAGCAGCCAGTGGGGTTTGTAATTATTTTCTGATAAAACTTTAAAATAAAAAGCTGGTTTCACTTTGCTGTGAATCCAGTCCAAAGCAGCTCCTTGTCAGTGCAGGTTCCTCCTCCATTGCAGGAGCACCATGTGAACATTCTGATGTGCCAAAAATCCTGCATATTCTCTGCATATTACTAAATTATTACAGTCTCAAGATAATAATTCACAGGAGCCTTTAAGAAAGTCAGGATGTTAATACGTCCAACTTCCAGGATTTTTCTTAGTGCAGATTAACAGTCTTTCTACCAAAAGACAACTCTAGAGCATGGATTTCTCTCTTGCAG